GATGCGGGGGGGGGGGGATGGCGCACAGATGTGTGGAGGGGGGGCAGCGACGGGTGGGTGGTTCAGGAAGCGCACAAGGAAGCATCACCTCCCCCCTCCCCGGATGGTCCTGTCCCGTGTGGCGGCTTTGCACTGCTCCAGTCTGTTCTTCCTGATGCCGGACCGTTTCTTGCACACCTGTGTGCGTGTGAGAGAGAGACCGCAAGGCCTGGCTGGACACAGCCGAGCCGCCTTCCAAAAGGAATTCCCCACATCCCGCCCGGCTCTCTCTGTAACTTTTTAAAACTATCACAAACGTTGAAAATAGGGCTGAATCGACCAAATAAAGAATGCAATGATGCTTCACTGTTACCTGGTTCCTGAATCGTCCCGGAAGAGGGAGAGTGGATTCCCACGCTCCAGAGACACTCCACACTCGGCCACGGAGAGAGGCGAACCGTGAGAAAGGACCCGGCTCTACTTTGGTGCTCCGCCCCGTTGGCCCTTCCATGCGAGCTCACCGTGGACCCCAGAACTGAAGCGTTTTGGCTCCGTCCAAAGGCCCACATGCAGGATCCTGAACCTTCTGGTTAGGGAGGATTGTGTGGTCGGAGGTGCTCAACGCCTTGCACACAACACACCCGCACATTCACATGCGCGTGTTGAGGTTTTGGTGTTGCACTGGTGTGAATTAGAGCTGCCAGATCAAGCAGTTTGAGAAAGGAACACAAGGGTTAATCCATAGCTATGATGCTCTGAAGGGAAGCCTTTCTGAAATATTCCACAGCACAGCTTTCCCCAACTGGGTGCCCTCCAGATGAGCAGGACTGCGACCGCTTTTATCTAAAGGGGTTTTGGGAGAAGCAGTCCGGCCCGTCCGAAGAGCCCAGGCCCGAGAAGGCTGCGATGGAGTCGGGACATTCCAGGTAAAGCACCAGCCCATCTGGCTGCCCTCTTTCGATTTCGGAGCCCTGTCCAACCGGGCCGGCCACTGGCCAGCTAAGGACCCCAGGGGATGTCACATGACACTCCCCCCCCCCCCGGACCCTGCCCTCCCCCCCTTCTCCCTCCCAGCCTCCTGGAATTGGTGAACTCGTCCACCATGTACTGTACATACATCAAATAGGCCGCCTTCTACGGATCGCCCCACACAGACACAGGGGGTGAGGAGAGGCAGCCGTTCTGTACCGAGACTCTTTTGTATACCACAAACTTTTTGTATATTTTTAATTCTGCTGCAACATGATATTAAATTCATTTCAATAAAACCTCTCTCGCTGGGCGTCTTTTTTCCTTCTTTCCTTTCCTCCTTCCTCCAGCATTCCAGGGCTCTTTTCCACCCCGAACAGCAACGGGGTCCTACTTACCCAGTGCAAATGGGGGGCGGGGGGACTATGACTCCTCACGCTGTACCTGCTTCATGGGATTCGTCGTCTCAGCCGGCCACTTGCTCGGATGCCTGTAAACCAGACGGAACGGATTCTAGATATTTCCATGGTGGTTCGCCCCGCTAGCTGAAAGAGGGTCTCTGTCTGGAGGAAGTGCCACGTGCCACGGGAAACAACCCGGCCGGCCTCAGTCCTGGGCGATGCAGCGCGCTGGTCCTTCCTGCAGGGCTGTTCTGCTGTGGTGATGTGTGAGCAGCTCGCGGGCTTTCGTTCCAGCTCGCAGCAGCTGCACGCATGATCTCCTGGGGACGATTCGCTGCGGCGAGCGTGGCCACCTGACCAGCTCTTGGCCGGCCGGCCGGTGTTTCCACTGCCCAGGCCACTGGCCATTGCATGCAAATTTCCAGCTGCGCCAGAGCCGTGTCTGCTTCGGACCAAGGAATGGCCCAGATCCGTTGCTAGTGTGTGGGTGCGGAGGACACTAGGGTCTCAGCATTTCCCTCTCCCCCACCGCAGAAGTGCTGGGGGCGGGTGGGGCACGGAGGAGGGAGAATCCCCCCCCCCCCGCTTAGGGCCAGGACGTGCTAATGTGCCATGCGATGCTTCTCTTCTTGAGGCACACGTGGTGCTCGGTGGCCGGCCATCTGAAGTCTGTCAGCACGAAAGGCGCGCCGGGAGAAGCCAGCGCTCTGGGACCAGGAGCACCTGCTCTGCAAGCACAGTGTCCCAGCGGCTTTCGTGATACATGTGGCTGGGCCAAGAAGGGTTTGGGATAGTCAGGCTAGGAAGGACCCCTGCGGTCTGTTGCCCCCTCCTCCTCCACATCCTGGGCCCCACCGAGGATTTAATTCTGGTCGAGGACGCGGTCCTGTGCAGTATCCAGCAGGCACGTTGGCTGGGAATGAATGCGGCGAGGCACCGGAAGCTTCCCTGCCTGGCGTGTCTTTGTTCAGGCCGGAGTCCGAGACTCAGCCTAACCTGCCCCACAGGGTTGTTGTGACAACACAGTGGAGAGGACAACCTTGTAAACTGCTTTGGATTCCTTGCAAGGAGAAGAAAGGTTGGGATGAATGTAATCATCGTATTAAAATGAATGGGGTTTAAGTCATGCCAAACTGAAGCCCCACTGATTTCCGTGGGACCGCTGTGTGCACGAGCGAATCTGCGTCCAGCCCCACGGCCCTCCCTGAGACTGCGGCTTCCTGTCTTCTGCTGCGCTCTGACCCGTTTCTGGGCAGCTGGTTCTTAGGGAGTCGGTTTTGGCCAAGGGCAGGCACCCCAGAGAAGGCAGGGGAAGGAGAGAAAGTCCAAGTAAGAGTCGGATGGACTCCAGAACGGAAGCCATGGCCTTGAGCTGGGAAGAGCTGAGAAGGGCGGCCACCGGAAGGGGACTGTGTAGGACGTTCACTCGGAGACCACGTGATGCCACATCACAGCAACCACAACATGGTTCCGGTTTGCTTTATTTTGCTTGCGATTATCGTGTGTGTTTCCCCTGGGATTTCACCCTAATAAAGGAAAGCAGCTGCATTGCTACATCGAGACGTCAACCGTCTTCCTTGTGCAAGGAACCCAGGGCGGCTTGTGCCATTCCATTTTTATCTCCACAACAACCTTGTGGGGGAGGTTGGGCCGAGAGGCGCTGGCTGGCCCAAAGCCCCTCCTTCGGGGTCCCCACTCCAGCACCCTCACGCATCGCCTCGCTGTGCTGTGCTGGGGGCGCTTCGGGACGCGTGCAGCTAGAGAGGCACCGCGACAGAAGGGCCTTCGCCTTGCGGCCGGACGAGGGCCCAGTCGCCTGCACCGGCCTCGCGATCGGCTCGGCACCAGGGTCGCCCTTGATGCGGAGGCCTTTGAAGAGAGACCTGCCGGGTTCCACAGGGCTACGCTTCCTCGCACGTTGTTTTAGCTGTTCTTAATTTTGTGTTAAACATTGTACTTTGGAAAGCTTTTCTGATATTCTGTTGTATGGGGTTTTAATAAACTGTTTAAACTGCTCCAAAAGCTTCCTCGACTGAGTGCCACAGAAACGAAAGCAGCCGCAGCAGCCGCAGCCGCAGCAGCAGCTGCGTGTCTTGGCCCGTCTGGTCGCCTCCAGGCTTCGACCCTCACCTGGTGCCGCTTCTTGCGGTGGCCTTCCTTGCTCTGATCTGGGCCACCGCCCTGCGCGCAGGTCCTCCAGACGCCCTGCATCATTCCCGGTCGGCACGGCCAGCCCCTTGAGTGCTGGGAGTTGCTGGTGGGGATCCTGGGAGGCACCGTCCGACGCGCGGAGGTGCCGCCTGGAGAAGGCTGCCCCGCACGTTGTCTGGTAGCTGTGGAACCCGCACTGGGTTTTCTTTGTCGTACGAAAAGGCCAGGCTGCTTCTCCACCTGCTTCTCCTTTATTATTCCAGGTGGGCGGAGGTGCCAGGGCCAGCCCCCTCCTCTGCCTCCGGGGCCGGGCATGCCAGATGCCACAGCAGCAGCTCCACCACAAAGCGCCTTTTCATTTAGATCATATGTTGTGATACGGGCCCTGACTTCTACAGGCGTTTGTTTCGACAGGTTAATGCTCTGCTTCAAAGCCGTGTGCAAGGAAAGCTTCCAGTCTGGTTTGTTTGTTAGCTGCCTTATAAAATTGCTTTGCTAGGGGATGCTCGAAATCTCAGCAGCATCAGAGAAACAATAAAGCGTTGGAGACTGCTGGATCTGAGCAACAAAGGGCCGTTCAAGGGCACTGCCTGTGCCCTGTGGCCACGGAGGCTCAAGAGAGGCCACAGTGTGGCTTCCCCCTTGTCTGGTTTTCATTGGTGCTTCATGCAGCCACCCCGAGCTGTCCAGTGGCGAATGGGACTCCCACCACTGGAAACCCAGGGTGTTTCTCATGTGCCTCAGTGCTAAATGGTGACCTCTCCTCCACGCTCGTGGGGACAGTGCAAATAAATGCCACGAGAGCCAGCGTCGGGACTGGCGGCCTTCCAAACGTTGACACTGTTCAGGCGCAAATGTTCAAGTGCAAAAGAGGAATTGCAAGAAATTATGGGGTGCTGACATGTGAGAAGAGAAGATTCTTTTGCCGATTGGATTAAAAGGACCCTGCACTCGGTCTACATATGCATGTCTCCAGGACAGTCCTCTGTCTGAAGGTGTCCTGTGCTTGAAGGGCAGTCCGACCCGATTCGAGGGTAGCAGAGGCCTCGAAGCTGCCAGTCCACACTTGTTCATGGGCAGAGAAAGGCTTGTGGCTCAGGGGATCACAGCCTTCCACCCCTGGCAGCATGCACCGCATCGCTATCAAAAATCAAAATCGCCGTGTTGATGGGTGCGTGCAATTTGCTGCCAAGTGCTGTTCTCCCTGGGGGGCGACGGGTTCCGCTTTTTGGGCTACCCCCTCCCAAGACAAGGGGAGAATCAAGGCAGAGGCAAGGCACATGGGGGGGGGGTCCCAAGGGGCTCTCGCTGCCCCTGCCTGGCCGTGCGGGGGTGCCGCTTGCAGTCTTCTCCGCACCCCATCCGTTGTGGCTACGAGCCCCACAGGAAGCGCCCCTGTGCTTCCAGGCCTCCGTGCGGCACTGTCCCTCCGCCCCCAGAGCCGCTTTTTCGGCCGCTCCATCGCTTATCAGTCCTGGGACTCGGCAGCATGACTTCAGGGCCGGTCACTGGTGGAGTTTCCGACACAGGATGGGAAAACAAAGGATCGCTGGCGTAGAGGGAAACGCAACATCCTGGGGACAGCGCAGAGCGAGGCCGGGACATGGAGTACGAGGCGAAGAAAGGGAAGAAGGTGCGTGGGAGAGGGGCCGGGTGCCGCTGGGGGGGCACGCGGGGGTCTCTTAGGGTGCTGTGCACGTAGGTGCAGGCGCTTTGCCCCCCCAGGACTCGGAGGGCACAGCTGCCTCGGCCGCATTCATTCAGTCCATTCGGCCAGCAGAGCCACCCCGGTGACCTCGGCCGTGGGAGAGCCGCTGCCTTTGGCCTTGCCAGCAGGGACAGGAACGGCAGCCGATGCCTGGGCATGATGGGAGTTGCAATCCAACACACAGGTGCAGGGGAAGAGGACGGGGGGACATGGCCTGTGCAAAGGGGGAGGGGCCAGGGAATGGGCACGGCCTGCAGGAGCCTTCTCCAACGTGGTGCCCTCCACAGGCTTCCTTGCGCTGCCGCGGGTTGTGGTCAACAACACCGGGATGACGCGAAGGCTGGAGAAGGGGGCCCGGCGGCAAGACGCGGCTGCGGGGCGCTGGCTGTGGCACCTGCAGGGCTTCCTCTTCATTCTGGCTTCCCTCACGGATTGTCCTGCCAAGTCGGTTGGCTTGTCGTTCCTAGATTTTAATTATTTCGGTTGACAATAACAGTTGTTAAAATGCGCTTGGTTAAGCTGTTTTGCATTCTATTTTCCAATGTCTTCACAGTTTTGCATTTTAAACATTCATGTTGTAAACAGCTTTGGGACTGATTGATTGATTGATTGATTTGCAAGGCTTATTTAGCACCCCAGATTCTGGTAAGGAGACCAGCTGTCTGCAACTTGAGAAAGAGCGCGATCCTGCGCATGCTTAGTCAGAAAACACCTGACCCTCCTAGCACGGCCCTGCCCGCGATGGCCGTTTTCTGTCCAGAAACGCTTAGTATTTGCTTCCTAAGCAAGCCACGCCACGCGCTTGCTGAAAGAATCGGGCTGGCTTGCTGCCGAAGCTGAGAGGCTCACGCTGGGCAGAATGCACAGCACCTGGCAGGTGGCGGCGGCTGCCGTCGTGGGAGCCCAGAGCTGTGCGGGACTGAGCTTCATGGCCTGCGCTGGCGTTGTCCAGAGCAACAAAAGAGGAGCAGGAGCGGGAGAGAAGGATCCCACCGTCTCTACAGTTTCGCTCTGTGTTTTGTCACTCTCTCCGGTAGTGTGCCTCTTGTGGAGAAGGCAGTCCTGGGGGCAACAAAATGCTCTCTGCACATGATCAGAGGAACCCTCCCAAGGCTGAGGCTCACTGGAGCTGAAATGCCTCCCTGCGGGAGTGACTGGGTGGGTAGCCTCGCTTAGACCTGCTGTCTTTCTAAAGTGACAGGCTAGTTCTCGGCTCGGCTCCGGGAGGCGCTCTCTCTCCTGCAGCCCCCCCTTTGAGCAGATGGGCCTCGGCGGCCTTTGCCCACCCTGCCACGGCTCCAGGGCCATCCCAAGCCTCTGGGACACGCATCCCTCCAGCTGCCTCCGGCGATGCCCAGCTGTCAGCCTGGCTGAGTCACCACCAGCCCGTCCTGGGAGCAGTCCAAGAACTGCCTGTCACCCGCAAGAGAAACTTAAAACATGCCAGTGCCTGGGGCAAGTAACCAAAGTTAGCAAAGTTAGCAAAGCCAACCAGATTCACCAGGAAAGGGCCCTGTTTGAGCACCAGAGGAGCGGAGCTGTGCAAGGACCCCTCTCAAGGTTTCTGCACAGTGCAACTCCAGCGCCGCTGTGTCCAGGGGACCCCGGAAACCCTCCTGAGGGGGGCACCCCACTGGCTCCACGCTGGGGCTGCCTCCAAGTCGCCCAGTGGTGCCCACACCAAGATCTGTTCAGCCAGGAGAGGCAGAAGCCAGGACAGAGATGGAGTCCTGCAGATGAAAATGGATATCTTGCTTTTATACGGAGTGGCCCGGCAGAGGCTTAATGGATGGCACTGGGCAGAGCACTGGAACCTTAATGCTCCAGATAACGCAGCTTTAAAAGGGAGCCAGAGAAAGACAGATCTCGCCACAGTCGAAAGGGCATCCCTCTGAACCTGCTGCTAACGGGGACACAGATTCTGGCCCCAGCGCTGAGCGATGCGGGCGTTAAGGGCCGCAGACTGAGCTCCTTTGTGAGGTGGCGTGCTTGCTGGTCGGTCGGTGTGCTGGTGTTTTCTTCCATGGCCACAGAAGGGGACTCACCTGGGGGATTCCTCTCTCCTGGCCTGCAAATGATGTCCGCCAGGTCTTAGAGCAGGGAATACCCAGTGCCCTACAAAGGTATTGGACCGCAGTTCTCATCATGTTGGCTGGGGCAGGTGGGAATTGTAGTCTGTTCTTCTGGAAGGCACCAGGTTGGAGGTGGCTGGGGTGAAGACACCATTCGGGGCAGAGGGACCAGAGTGTCTCCGGACGACGCTCGCTGCAGCCTCAGAGGGGAGGGTCCTTCCCAGTCACGCGGGTTTTGGGCCCCGCGGCTGCATCGCTGTTTCTTTCCCTGGCTAGTGGAAAAGCAGAAATCAGCGATGGCCTGCGCGCTGCATTTAGTTTAGGCTGACGGGTTTTTGTTTTCTTGACGCAGAACGTGTCTTCGACCGGCAGTGGGCACGGCTTCCTCCTTGCCAGGACCTCACCAGCTCCCCTCCCTGTCTGCCCTCTTGCAGGGGTTCGTGTCTCCCATCAAGCGGCTGGTGTTCCCGAAGGCAGCCCGAAGGCAGCCCCTGAGAAGCAGCAGCCGGCGGCCTCTGCACTCCGTCCCGCTCCACCCCCCGGACTTCCTCGCAGACCCCCAGATCCTTCTGTTCGACTATGTCGAGAAGGAAGTGAAGGTCAGGGGCGAAGGGGGCCGGGTGGGCATCCCCGGGAAAGGGCTGTGGGACCCTGAGCCGGTGGGCCAGTGTGGGGTGGCGGCCTGGCCCTCGGGGGGCGCTTGCTGGGCGCCTCCTGGCTTCTCTGCGCGTTGCTCTCCCCCCGAAATCCTTCCTCCGCGGCTCACTTTCTGCGAGGGAGAGCTTTGCTGTCACAAGCCCCCAGAGTGCCTCAGCTATGGGGCTGCACAGAAATGGACGGTGGTGGGGGGGCGGTGATGGAAGCGATGAATCATGTGGTGCTTGGGTCCCACCTGCCTCTTGCCTTTGGCCATGCCCCCCCAGGGGCCAGCCCCCAGCCCCGAATCTTCTCTGATGCTGCATCCTGCCTTTGGACCGGAAGTGACTCCCACCCCTGCTGTGCCGGGAAGGACCAGAGTGGATATGAACTTCCCGGGACAGGACCCAGGGAGATGGAATCTCCCATTGAAGCCAGCTGAGCAGGCCCCCCATTCATGGCTCATGCCAGCTGGGGGTGATGGGAGTTGTAGTCCAGCCCACCTGGAGGGTGCTGGGTTCAGAAAGGTTGCAAAAAGGGGCCTCTCGATGCAACTGAGGCTCCCTGCAGGCAAGGAAAGGGTTAAATCTCCCCCTAAGTATGGGGGTGGGGCAGGCACAGGGCAGAGAAGGCAGTTTTCCTCCCTTGCCTGTTACATGCAGGGGTAGATTTAAGGACATGTCCAGGGAGGCCCCAGTGAATCCTGTACCCACCATGGTTTCTCCAGCTGCCCTATGGAACAGCACCGGCCCACCTTGCAGGGTTGTGGTTGCTCCAACGGTTGCAGAAAGAGCGTTTCCTTAAGGGTTGCACTGTGTAGATGGTCCCCTTTCTCTCCGCGTGATGCTCACAACAACCCTGTGAGGTGGGCCAGGCTGAGAGTGGGTGACTGGCCCAAAGCCGCCCAGAGGGCTTCAGGGCTGCATGGGCACCGGAGCCCAGATTTCCCAAGTCCCTGGCCAGTGCTCTAACCACTAGTCCACAGAGCTCTCCCAAGATGCATTACATTGTCTCTCTCGAGCAAGAACAAAATCATAGCAAACTCTGGACTTCAAGGACAGATGCAGCTGCGCTACTAACCAGCAGAAGGTGGGGAATAAATGTGAAACTGAATTCCATGATGCACTGGGGGCTGTGAGCCAAGGAACTGCTGCCTGCCCCCCCCCCACCTCAAACACACCGCTTTCCAGAGGGGTCCTTCCCTCTCTCTCCTTTGCTGCCCTGCAAGCATAGGCCTACTCAGGAGTAAGCTCTATTAAACTTAGGCTTACTCCCTGAGAAGGGTGAACAGGATTGTAGCCTCAAACTCGGAGGTCTTTTCTTGTCTAAACCAATTTAGGATTGTACCTGTAATCTCTTATTTTTTAAGTGCTTTGACTATGAATTGGCACACGGAGTAGCACATTTGACATGGTCTAGATTGCTTCAATCGCAGCTTGTTCAAAATGCCTTGATATTATAGTGGTCAATTATATTTTGCAATTTATAAACATTGATTCTATGTAGTGAATTTCACGCTTCTGAGACACTGTGATTTTCCCTTAAAGGTGGCCACAGATGTTGAAATAAATCAGACTAGATGGCCTGACTGAAGGTCAGACTAGATGGCCTTGGAGACCTCTTCTGACTCGCTCTGTTTCTATGTTTCTAAATATATACCAAATGAACATCTTTTCCATAAAATTGCCCCTGCACACATTTCAGGCCCTCAAATGATGCATTTCTGGACAGCAGAAAAGAAAGCAGGATAAAATGAAGCAAAACTAGGCCTGTGGGCTTAAATTTCAGTTTATCTTGACCATGGATTTCACCTCTCTTTTCAGCGCAGAATGTTGCCCAACCCTCTGCTGCATTTATCGCCTCTCACTTTGTCTTCCTCTCCAGTTTTTAGGTCACCTGACCTGGGTGACGGCTTCCCTGAATCCCTCCAGCCGCGATGAACTCTTGCAGTTACTGGATACCGCGAGGGTAACAACTGCACAATGCACTTCAATGCGCTTTGGCGTTGCTCAGTTAACAATAGTGCCTTTGCAACGAATTTTGCAAGTCAGATGAGGAAAAGAACCCTGGGAGGAGGGGTGGCTATTTTGATCCTAGGGCCTTAGTTAGGGTTGCCCCAACTGTTTTCTTTCATCAAAGTCATTTCCTCTAGTCTGATGAGGGAAAGAACCCAGCAGAGGCAGGCTCAACCGTTTGCTTGCTGAGCTGCTAGGCCTGCTGGCCAGAGAAGAGATGGAAGGGGTCTCCAGGCACCGTCCTAGGGAATCAGAAGGAAGCAGCCACCCAACTTCCTTGTCTGTTCTGGGTAAACCTGAGCTGTTGCTCTTCGGACTCAGAAAAAGTTTGTCCAGCTGCAGCCATCAAACTGCCCCAGTGCCCCGCAGGCTCCGGTCCTGTCTGCCCACCTGTTGAATGCCTGCCTACCTGCCGCACGCTCCTGATCCATCCAAGCATGGGCTGCAAAATGGTGTGCCAGTCTGGGCACGCCTTCTTCTTATGCATTTTTTCTATTTAAATCCTACCATTTTTCCTGCGAGGAACCCAAGGTGGGTTGCGTAATCCTGCCCTCCTCACAACAGCCCTGCGGGGTAGGTCAGGCTGAGAGTCCATGACTGGCCCAAAGCCACCCGGTGTTCCTCATGGCTATGCAGGGCCTGGAAACCCGTTCTCAAGTGATTATGGAACCCAGTCCCTAACCACTATGCCACACTGCCTCTCATTTCATTAAAACAAATGAATGCGCTCAAAAAACCAGCCCTCCAGAGGTGCTCACGCCGGTGCCCCCCTCGCATGCCCGCCCAAATGTGGCAGTCTGGGGGTGGCTCTGTGGCACGGCAGGTGGGAGGCAACACCCCTCTTGCGCTCTTCTAGCCTGCAGATGCGGGCTCTGTCGATGCGCAGAAGCAGGCGCCTGACCAAAAGCATCGCTGGGCCACCCTCCCGGCTTTGCGCAGGGCCAGCTGGGTCCCTCTGAGATGCCCACTAGCGGGACACGGAGGGGAGGGGAGCCTTCTCTGTGGGGAGGGGTCCTGCCCCACACATGCCATTCCGAGCAGAGCGACTTTGACCCCGGAGCAATGGCAAGACCCTCTGTCCCCGCATGAACATCCAGGCGCACTGCAGAGCCCGTGGCGCTCCACGGCGGCGGAAACCGTGGCTGCAGGGCTGGGGCTGCGTCCATAGCACTGCACTGGCCCACATGGTTCAGCACTGTGGGCAGCTCCTTCCCAGCTCAGGCCGACATCCGGAGGGGCTACACAGCCGCCCTCACAGTGGTTCAGGTGCTCTGCGGGTGGGCTCGGGGATGCACTGCTGCGCGCCCTCCTGGGCCCCTCCGGCTAGCTGGACAGGGCCACCTCCCATGGGCCGTGGAGGGAAGAGTGCGCCGGACCTGCCTTAGCGAAGCGCATGGCCTTCTCCAGACCCGGCACGGTTTAACCGATGCGCCTTTGTCCCGGCTTTCCTGCAGCAGCTGAAAGAGCTTCCGCTGAAGACGACCCCCGAGCAGGACAGCATCCTGAGCCTCTCGGCCCGCTGCCTGCTGCTCACCTGGCGGGACAACGAGGAGCTCATCCTGAGGATCCCCACCCACGAAATCGCCGCGGCCTGCTACCTGAGGGATGACGCCCTGCAGCTCCTGGTGCTCAAGACAGGTGTGGTGCGCACCCCCCACGGCGGGGCCCCCGGCCCCACTCCCGGCGCCTGCAGGCACCGATCCTGCCTCGCCGATATCCCAGTGCAGTGCCCGCTGGGTGGTGTTACCCTTCCAGAGCACACCTAGCTTGCCCTGGCACCGAACGTGGCAGCTACGCAGGGCATGGCACTGGGAGCCCAGCAGCCCAACATGGTCGCCTGTTGTCTTCCGGCCTCCACGCAGGGAGTTGGTGCTCACCTTTGAGGGCACGATCCAAACGCGCTGAGGCTGAAGAAGAGCCTGCCCCTGATGCCCGGGGCACGCTGGAGCTGCACGAAGGCGCTCCTTTGTTAGGAGCTGCAGGGAAGAACTGTTGGGGGCCTGCTGCAGAGCCCCGGGGCTGGGCACGCGGGAAGGGGGCCTTATCCTGCACTGCTCCCAAACTCCAAAGCCTCCCCTGGGAGCGGTGGCTCATTCCACCTGCTCTGCCTTCAGAAGGGCTAGCAAGACGCTTTGTCCCAATGGGGCTTTTAAAAGGGTTAAAAGAGGCAGCGGGTTTCGGGATAGCTTGAGTCTGATTCACGCTCCTTGCACTGCATGGCTCATAAAAACACAGAAACAGAGAAACAGAGCGAGTCAGAAGGGGTCTCCTGGGCCATCTAGTCTGACCCCGCAGCCAGCTCTGCTCATGACGTGCCCACCATGTGCACGTCCAGCCTATCCTTGAACATCCTTACTGACGGGGCTTCAAATACCTCTGGAGGAAGCCCATTCCATTCCCTGGGGGTCCTAGCCGTCAGTTTGTGGTCCCTCTGCTTGCGGCCAAGACACATTTCCATTTCCCCCTCCTTTGAGCCACCCCCGCTTCGTGCGAGCAGGATTTGCGCCTGTGCTCAGCTCCTCTTACAGCAGAGCCTGCTCTGAATATTTCTGCCTGGTTTTTCCTTCCTGTGACAGTTAGCAAGAGCGCCTTATTATGCAAATGAGCAGGCACTCAAAGCCCCGCTTTGAAAGCAAATGAGAAGTGGGTGGAAAAGAGAATCAGCAAGCTGTCTTAATTAAACACTAAAAGCTTATTTTACCTGGAGTACTTGATTAAACAAACCAAAGACAAGTTTGCCGGGTGTGCTGCACTGAGTCAAGGACAGCGGGCTGCGGCAGGGCGGGGGCCTCAGCGCTGGAGCTTCGCCGGGAGGGGGCCGGCTGGAAATCCCCGGGGGCGGGCGAAGGCCCGGCGGGGCACCAGGCGAGCTGCCGGTGAAGCCCCAGCCGCGTGGGGGCCTTGGGGGTCCGCTTGCCCACTGCGCTTGCTCGCCGCCCCCCTCCCCCCCCCCGCCTCCCCTTCCCCGCCAGCTGTGGGGCTTCCCGGGCGGGACAGGGTCAAGCAGCGGGTGTCTGGCCTGGCCGGAGGACTCCTCCCCAGCCCGGCCACGCCTGGGCCTGGAGGGGCAGCGGGGCGCGTGGGCTGCAGCGGGGAGAGGAGCGGCAGCGGGGGGGGGGGGGTCCGGGATGCTGGGAGGGTAGGCGGGGAGAGCCCCCTCCCCCGCTCCTCGCAGGCGGGCAGGCCGGCCAGCGCGGCCGGACGCTGCGTTGCGTACCTGGACACAGGTGGTCCTTCTTCCCCGTTTCCAGGTTTGGGGGTGGACCCGGTCCCCGCCGGGGGCAGCCTGGACGTCTATCCCGGAATCACGGAGGAGAAGAAGTGCCCCGGGGGGCCCGCTGAGAAGCGGCCGCTGGGGGGCACCATGGAGCGGCGCCACACCATCTGCAGCCTGGACTGGAAGATGGCCCGGAGCGCCGGGCCGGAGGGGAGGCCGGGCGGCAGCGGGGGCAGCCTGGAGCGCCAGCAGGGCGCGGGCAGCTGGGAGAAGCGGCGGCCGGGCGCGGGCGGCCGGCCCTTCGGCAGCTGGGAGCGCCGGCAGACCTACAGCGGCAGCTGGGAGCGCCGGGCCGGCCTAGCCAAGGCGGGCGGCAGCTGGGAGCGCCGGCAGGCCTACAGCGGCAGCTGGGAGAGGGGCAAGACCTGCGGCAGCTGGGAGCGCCGGCACGTGGGGGGCACCCCCCTGGACCCCCAGGAGCCGCGCCCCGAGGCCTACTGCAACCTCATCGTCCTGGCCGTGGCCGACAGGGTAAGCCCCGCCTCCGCGGCTGCGCCCGGGGTCCCCGAGCGCCCGGGGCGAGCCGGCCTTTGGCGCGGCCAGCCTCTGCCCCGTGCGCCCTTTGGAGCGCGGGGCGGGGGCGCCACGTAATCCCGCCGGTCGCTGGGACCCCCGCCCCGACGGCCAGCTCCGAGCCAGCCTCTGTTGTCGGCCCCAGAGAGAAGGGCCTTCCCGGCGGTGGCCCCCAATTTCGGCACCGGCCTGACTATCTTTTTGGTGCCAGTTCAGACTGGCCTCTACCTCAAGGCCTTTAATTGGCTTTCCGGGGCTTTGCTAGCTGCTTAATCAGATTCCAAGATGCATCTTGTGTAAGTTATTGGGATGTTAAATGTGTGCATTTGGCTTTAAAGTTGGTTTACAATTTTGCACAGCAAGCTTGCCTGTTTTTTCACAATGGTATATTTTAGATTGTATTTTAATGGGTTGTTGTAAACCACCCAGAGAGCTTCAGCTCTTGGGCGGTATAGAAGTCAAATAAATAAATGTTTAGACTGAAAAAGCTCCTTCAACTATGGGATGGCTAGGAATACTGAGCGTTGCAGGACTTGATTCCGTCTAAACTGGCCCAGGATGTACACTCAGCTCTAAGCCTTTGAATGCAGGTCTTGTTTAAAACACGATAGTATTAGGAATAGGCCCCCAAATATTTTTATGTGTTTGTTTATTAGATTTATCACCCACCTTTTTCTTTTTAAAGCACTCAAAGCAGCTTACTTCATTCTCCTCCTGCTCTCAAGCTTATCCCCACAACAACCCTGCAAGGTGGGTTCGGCTGAGAATCTGTGACAGGCCCAAAGCCACCCAGTTGACCCCATGGCCAGGTGGAGACTAGAACCCAGGGTCCCAGTCCCAGAACCCTTAGCCACGACACCACGCCAGCCCTTTTTAAATATTAAATCACCACCCCTCCACAACCAAAAGAGCAGCTTGTCTCATCTTGTGCCAGTTTTCTGCTGCGTACATTCAGGACATATGAATTCTTCCCACGATCGGTCGGGTTTGAATTCTTGGTGCTTTTGCAAGGCCTGGCAGTCGTGGGCCCTTTTTCTGTCCAAACATGTGTAGGATTTGAGTGCATCAGGAAGAACTGGGAGACAGCTGCAGCAAAGAAAGCAATTCCTGGATTGCTTTTCATTATCAGCAAACATTTGCCGTATTTTTCGCTCTATAAGACGCAGCTGACCATAAGACGCACCTAGTTTTTAGAGGAGGGATCCATGGAAAGCTTCCTGATAATCACAGGCACATTCCCCATCACTTCCCCATGGGTTTCATTAAAAGACAGATTGCCATTTGAAAACACCCACCCACCTGTGATTAACAGCTCTCACCTGTGCTGGGGGAGGGGGGCGGAGCAGCGCATGTGCCGGCCAGGTGGTGCCACGTGGTGCAGGCGGGCCGGCAGCTTCCCGGGCGTCGGGACACACACATTCGCTCTATAAGACGCACAGACATTTCCCCTTACTTTTGAGGGGGGAAAGTGCGTCTTACAGAGCGAAAAATACGGTATGTAAATTGTCTCCTTCTTTTCTGTGTTGGGAAGAGAAGCCAGAAGAAAAAATGGGGGATTTCAGCCCCCACATCCCCACCCCATAGCACCATGCCAGCAAGGCAAGTCCTACTAAGCGGTAGGGCTAACGGCCTGCACAGGACAGGTATCCAGGTGAACAGGTGTAAGATTGCAGTGCAGGTGCCCATCGTGCAGCTCCAGCCTGCAGGTCTGACTGTTCTTTCTTCCTGGGGCAGGACACCGCTGAGGAGTGCTGTGCCGTCATCTGCCAGGTTTTCCAGATCATATACGGAGACCAAACCATCGAGTGCGTGGACCGGGCCGGCTACCACTACACGTCCACGCCGAAGCGTCCGTGGCTGTCCAGCCGCAGTGAGTACCTCGGCGGCCGCCCTTGGCCTCTGCGTGGTCTTCGGCATCTAGCAGCAGCCGGACCGCTGGCCTCAGAGCTGGCTCCCACGGGGTGGAGCAGAGCCGACGTTTCCCGCATCATGCGGCAACTCAGACAGCGTGGCCTTCTGAGCCACAGCATCGCAGTGCCGGCTCATGGGCCACGTGCTCGTTCGCCGAGTCTGGGGCCACGTTTTCGCCCACTGTGGCGTGTGGCGTGATACCTGAATCAGAGCTCAGGTGCCAGGCCAGAGCAATACATGAATGTGCAGGGGAGACCCGTTGTGAGCAAGGTGCCGCCTTCCGGGGTCTCCTGTCAGATCGAGTGGATTTCATCCCCCCGCATTCTTCAGCCCCTGCCATGGAATCCTCTCCGGCCCTCCCTTCGTCATGAACTCCCCTTAATCCACCAGGCTGGGTTGCGTTGGTCGGCGGGGAGGCCAAAATACGATGGATGGTGATGGGCTGCTTGAAGCAGTGGCGTGAGACATGATGTTAAGCATCTCAATTTTTGCTGAGTGTTACATACTCTGCCGGGATGATGGGAAGCATCTTTCTGAGATGGCACATTAACTGCATCCCTCTCTTCCACCAGCTCCGTAGTTGCGCCTTCTCGCTGCTGTGTTGTAGCGGAGCTCAGGGGGAGGCGAAGCAACCCTTTCCACAGCCCAGGGCTGCTGCCCTGATCAGCTGCCCCTGTTCCCTGTTCCCACTGAGTGTGGTGGAAGACCTCTCCATAAAATAGGTGGGGGTGATTCTGGCTTGCTCACAGAGCTGTGCCCACCGGAGAGGAAATGAGGTGGGTCAGCAAAGGGCAGTCTGAAGTTTTGGCCGAGGAGGATCATGAACATTGCAACGTTTACCACAACAGCCAAGGAGCCCTGGCAACAGCCCGTTTGTGCGGGGAAAGCCAGCGACCCCACTGGAAAGCTCCCCTGGCCTCACCAAAACTGCCCTCTCCAGGTTTCTCTGGGAGAAGCCATGAGTGTCAAACCAGCAGCGTGTTTCCAGCGTACACATATCTAGCCACTTTGCATCAAGAAGGGGAGATAATTGCATTTTCTTGAAGATGCTAATTAATTGCCTGCTCATATAACCGTTCCCTAGCATGGAGTCTTTGCTAAAAAAAAATCACACTTTGTGGGTGGTGAAAAGGCTGAAAATAAATTTATTACTGGCTGGGTGGTGATGAGCACCAGGGAGGCTAGAGGGAAACCTGCAGAGGACAGAACAGGCCGGGGCGAGGGAGGACGGCGTCTGCTCCCTGCCCCAACGCCGCCGTTCGCCTCGCTCGTTCCAGGTGAGAGCTGCCGGACGGACGGGACGTACGGATACGACGCCGACTTCAGTTGCTGCAGCTCTTCGTGAGTCCTCCGGGTTGCAGTGCGCTCGCGTGCCATAGGCTGAGTCGGGCCGCTTCCCAGGCTTCCAGTGGGACCTCTGCTAGGGCCCCAAGTGCCCCTGCAGTGCTCAGAACTCCGATTCCCAGAATTCCCTGGGAGAGAACCCATTCTTTGCGCTGAAGCATTGTCCCGCCTCCAGTTCCATTCTGAAAAGAATTTGACATCCGTGGCTGCGGGTGGAGTTTTAGAAGAAGCCTCTTCTTCAAAGGCATTCCTCTCCGAAAGGATGGAGCGCCTTTTCTGCAGCAGCGCTTGCCCCATCCTAGGGATTCATAATCTGAAAACAAAGCAAAGTATGTTGTCTTTTCCCCTTCTGAAGTCATGTCTTTGTTCATATACAAAGGCATGCGGGTTTGACTGATCAGGGGACTAAAGCTCATGCCATTAATTGGCTGAGGTTTCCATGATGGGGCAGCCCCGCTATGCAGCCCCGGCCCACTTGAAGCTGCCTCTGCACAGAGAGCAACCTGCCCAACGGTTCCGTAGTCTGGCTGGCCAAGTCTCCGAACAATTGACCACATTTTTCAGTCCTAGGAGCACGCTAAGAAAATGTGCTTGCAGGTGGCTTGAAACCGGCCTGGGCGAAATTGTGGGAAGAGGAGGCAACCTGGGGCCACGGGCCGTGTGGCTCGCCCTTCCTCCGGGGTTGGGAGCAGCGCCCCCTGCTGGGGAACAGCCAAGGGTGCGCCTGCCCTTGTGGCCCCGGGCTTCCCAGGAAAGCGTCCAGCGGGCTGCTGGGCAAAGCAGTGTGCTGGGCTCGCCAAGCGCCGGCTCTCACCAGCAAAGTCTTAAAGACGGAAAACAAAAGGGGAGCGTAGCATGGCCGTGCTGGCTGGGGATGATGGGGAGCGTAGTTCCACCCACCTGGGGCGGGGGCAGGTAAGACAAGTCCAGCCTGCGGTTTCCCAGTCAGTCAGCCGACGCGTTTTCCAGCACGAGAGAGGAAAAGCAGCCAGACGGCCACCCCCTGGGCTGAGCAGCTGGGGTCGCACGCAGAGCGCGGTTCCCTGGGCGCTCACACCAGCTCCTCTTGCCTAAGGGCGGAGCAGAGAAAGCAGCGCTGCCCCGAGCCAGCTGCCTTCCTTCCTGTTGCGCAACCCCCTGCGAAGCCTGCATTCCAGCGCCCCTCCCACGGCCCCCCACATCTCCGTTTTGCCCTAACGACAGCCCTGTAGGGTAGGCTGGAATGAAGGGCACGGCCTGGCCCAGACTCCCCCAGGGAGCTGCATGGCCCGGGGGGGCATGCCTGGGGTCCCCCCAGGGCCGGTCCAGCATGCCCACACATGCCACGCCTCTGAGATCCTCCATCTTCTCGCAGCGACGGCTCCCACGAGACCTTTGATGCCTGCTGCAGCGGCCGCTCATCTCCGTCTTTCCACCGCTCACACCACAGCCTCGCGACGGCCTGCAGCGGCAGCGACCAGAGCAGCAGCGGCCGGGAGCAGCTGCAGGACTACATGACCACGGCGAGTAGCGTGGCACATGGGGCGAGAAGGGGTGGCCCCCGTGGGTGCTCACTGCCCCGGCCTGGGATCGGGGCATGCCTGCCGTGCATCTCGAGCGCTCACTGAACCACAGAACAGTAGAGGTGGAAGGAGCCAAGAAGGCCATCGGGTCCAACCCTCTGCTGGTGCAGGACACCACGTCCCACCCTTCAAGTTCCTTTTCGAATGTCCCCAGTGTGGGAGAGCCCCCGCCTCTCTGGGCAGCTGGTCCCACTGCCCTATTGCCCTGACAGTGAGGAAGCTTTTCCTGATGTCCAGCCGCAATCTGGGTTGTTGCAACTTGAGTTGATTATTCCATGTCCTACACCCTGGCATCAGCAAGAAGAGATCTTGGCCTTCCTCTTTGTGACATGACAGATATCATGTCCCCCTCAGCCTTCTTTTCTCACGGCTGAACATGCCCAGTTCCCTCAGTCTCTCCTCACAGGGCAGTGTTTCCAAACCCTGGTTCATTTTTGTCGCCCTCCGCTGGACCCTTTCTAATTTCCCTGCATCTTTCTTAAACCTTGGTGCCCAGAACTGGGCACAACATTCCAGGTGAGGTCTGACTAGTCAGGAATATAGAGGAACTACTACTTCTCGTGATTTGAAAATAATACTTCTGTCAATGCATCCCAAAATAGCATTTGCCCTTTTGGTGGCTGCATCCCATTGTTGGCTCATATTTACCCTGTTGTCCACCATGGCTCCAAGATCTTTTTCTTTTTCAGTTCTGCCGAGCCATGTATTCGATGCCTTTGGCTTCTCTTTCCCAGGTGGAGGACTTGGCACTTGTCCTTTATGGAATCTCCTTCCGTTGCTTTCTGCCCAGTGTTCAAGTTTATCAAGACCGCCCTGGATTCTGTCTTCTAGGGCGTTAGCTATTCCACCCAGTTTTGTATGGTCTGCAAATTTGCTATTTTCTTTCCTTGTACTTCCTCATCCAAATCACTGATGAAGCTGTTGGAGAGCACTGGGCCCAGCACTGAACCCTGTGGCACCCCACTAGCTACCCCCATCCAGTTTGAGAAGGTGCTGTTGATGCGCACTCTGTGTGTCCAATTTAGCAGCCAATTTTGGATCCACCTAATAGTTTTTCCATCTAGTCCAGTTTTTGCTGATTTGCTTATCAGAATGTCATGGGGAACTATGTCAAAAGCTTTGTTAAAGTCTAGGTAGGTTACATCCCCAGTGTTCCCTCTGTTTTGGCGGTTACCTAGTCAAAAACTGCGATTAAAGGAGTGGGAGGCACCGTGGGTTGTAGCAGAACTGCCCACCTTGGTGGGGGGGGGGGACGACTTGTTTCCCAGTTGCCATAATAATAAGCTTAAATATGTTCTGTGCCCTCCAACCCTAAATTCCTCCAGCTGATCTTGCAATCCCATCAAGCCGGAGAACACGAATGCTCTTGCATCGTGGGGCTGCCCGCTTCTGTCTTGCTCACTGCCCTTTGGGTTTTCTTTCTTTCTTTCTTTCCTTGTTTTCTGCCTTACAGCTGAGAAACAAGTTGACTCCCCAGGAGATCCAGCAGTTCGCCCTGCTGCTTCGGGAATACCGGACGGGCCTGGCCGTGGAAGGATACTGCGCCGGCCTGCTGCACCTCTATGGGGAAAGGCGGAAGTTTCTCCTGCTAGGTAAAAGCTAAGCTCTCCTTGGGGAAAACGGGCAGGCAAAGGAGTGAGGGTCTTTACTGACCCGACACCCCACAGTTGTGTGGGGGAGTCCCTGTCTCAGGCAGCGAAGGGCCAGTTCATCACCTCCTGCCTGGTTCTCCCACAACACCCATTTTGCCTAGTTGGAAATGCAGCGCCAGCAACTCACACCGGGATCTTTGTCATGCTAAGCACACACGGTGTGTCCCTGAACTATTCCACCTTCCCCACAATCGCTGGCGCAAATGCATGCATACAGAATAGCACGGATCCAGCTCCGCAATCTTCTGTTCACGGAGCTGGCATGCAGCCATCTTTGCAAGCATGAGATCTAGTCACTTGCATTGTGCAGCTGGGTTTCCTGAGCACTTGAGCTCTACGCCCATTTGGTGCCGCGGCTTTGTTCGCACTGCTGCGAAACGGCAGGACACCTCGCCCCCGACCGCGGTGCCCTGGCCTCATCCTGCCTTGCCCCACCCTCCCCCGTCCTTCATGCTTTCAGGCATGCGGCCGTTCATTCCCGATCAAGACATCGGCTACTTTGAGAGCTTCCTGGAGAACATCGGCATCCGGGAAGGGGGCATCCTGACCGACAGCTTCGGGCGCATCAAGCGGAGCATGAGCAGCACCGCGGCCTCGGCCGTGCGCAGCTATGACGACTGGTCCCTGCGCTCCGGCACGGAGTCCTTCAACCGCATGATCACGGACATCACGCACGACATCGAGGCCCTGGCATGTGACGACGAGGAAGAGGAGGATGACGGCAGTGACGCCGACTGCCACGAAGACAACTACCTCTGAGGGGGTGCCGGCCCAGGCCTTGGGGGCTGGGGGGCACGCAGGGAGGGGAAGTCTCTCAGGTGGAGCAATTTGAATTGGCCTTCCCAGAAGGCGAGGTCTGGAGGGGGGCATTAAGACCTTCCTTTTTAAAAAACATTTTATTAACTAGTTGCCACAGACCTCTGTTTTGTATGTTTTGCTGGATTTCGTTGTTTTTAATGATTAACGTGTTATGGTTTTTATTATGTTTTTATTGTGTTTTATCTCGTGTTGTGAGCCGCCTGGAGGTGCTGTGGCGTGCAAATGTTTTAAATAAACACATCAAGAATAAGTGGGCGACGCTGCAGTGGCCCCCAGAACAAACCTGGGCCACGCCTTCTCCCTGCACCTGCCCCCCCTGCTGTTGGCCCACAGTTCCTATCCCTCAGCGCTGCTGGCTGGGGATGATAGGAGCAGCAGTGCCCCAGGGAAGCGATGCCTCCTTCGCTGAGCTTGCGCACCACCTGCAGTGGGGTGAGGCTGCCCCCTGCTGGTGCAACGCCTCGCCGCCGCCTGGGACAAGCCGCCACCTCGCCTTGGGTCCCTTGGGCGTTTCTCCACCCTTGCTGAGCTCACGTCCAGTTCTTGTCGGGAAAGGCCCTTGCCGCGGGTGAATCGAGGCCGCCGGCAGCCACAGAGGGCGGGGGCGGGGGGCGTGCTCCTGGTGAGGCTGCGTTATACCCACGCACGTGTGGATCTTTCTTTATTTTCTATATTTGCACTTCTGCATTTGCAAACTGGGGAAGCCGGAGGGAAATGAAACCACCACAGATGTTAAGGGAACGGCTCGTTGACTTGGGCTACCCTGTAGGCAGCTGGAGCAAGGATGTTTCAGCCCACCTTTAACCCCATGTTAAGTGAATCCTGCACCACAGCGCCTCTGAGCCTGCATGGATGCGTTCAGACAACCCTTGAGTGTGGGTTACATAGAAACAGCGAGTCAGAAGGGGTCTCCCGGGCCATCTAGTCTGACCTCCAGCACCAGCCAGCTCCGCTCACGACATGCCCGCCATGTGTACGTCCAGCCTATCTTTGATTGTTGTTGAAATGAGGGTTATTGAGTTGTCTGACTCCAGAGGTAGAAACCCACTAGGTTGTAGTGTTGGGGCACAATCCAGCTTTCTGAAAAACTCAGCTTTACTTTTATTTTGGTTTAAAGCAACTTTCTAGCCCTCATGGTGGGGAGGAGATTATTATTATTATTATTATTATTATTATTATTATTATTAACATTTCTATGCTTGAAAGTGTATGGATAAGGCCTGTTGAAATGTCAGAAGCCAAACCAATGGACTGAATAAGTTTTCCAGGGATTCTAGGTGGACCTTCAAAGTTTTTGTCCTTCCCAAAGACTAGCTGCAACTGTTGGGCGGTATAGAAATGAAATAAATTACTAAATGAAATAAAATAGAAAAGACATAAAGAACTATGCAAAGAAAATCATGCAAAATTAGAGAAATGATACGCCTTAGCACAATTACTTTTTTTATTTAAAACCTTTGTAGACCGTCCCATTACTGAAGTCTTGGGACGGTTTAACAATAAAATGTAGGAAAAGGGAAAATTAATTAAACCAGAGGGTCCTAACATTTTGTAATCATAAAAACCCCACTGAAAACAGTCAGATCTTAAAACACTGGGAAAATAAAAAGGTGTTGGCCTGCGGGCAGCTGGTTTCCCACTGAGTGCATGGGTTGCTGGACGGGAGGGACCTTTGGTCTAACCCGGCACAACTGCGCTTATGCTCTTAAGGATGTTGATGAAGGAAAGAAAGAGCATCCCTTTATTTATGATAGCCACCCACCAATGCAAAAAAGCAGACCGACACGGTCAGGCTGGTACCCGGAGCAGAGCCAGAGGGAAAAGCGGTGTGACAGTCGTGTCCTCCCCGGACTGCCGAGCTGCAGCCACTCCTGGGGTAGCTCAAATTATCTGTGGGCAAACGGGGGGAGCCGGGGGGCCTCCGTTGCAGTCCTCTCCTTGGAGAGTTGTCAGATCTTGGTTTGAAGGTGGTCTCTGTGTGAAGGTCCCAAACCAGTGGCTGCTCTGGGGACTGTCCTTTCATGGGCCTCGGATGGCAGGAGTGACCCCCCTCTATATACCCTCTTCCTTGCTGCTGCTGCTGTTGTTAGTCGCGAAGTTGTGTCCGACCCACCGCGACCCCATGGACAGCATTCCTCCAGGCCTTCCTGTCCCCCACTGTCCCCCAGAGGCCACCCAAGCCCACACCCACTGCCCCAGTGACCCCATCCAGCCACCTCGTCCTCTGCCGCCCCCTCCTCCTTTTGCCATCTATTGTTCCCAGCATCAGGCTCTTCTCCAGGGAGTCCCTCCTTCTCATTAGGTGGCCAAAGTATTTGAGTTTCATTTTCAGGATCTGGCCTTCTAAAGAGCAGTCAGGGTCGATCTCCTCTAGGACTGACCGGTTTGATCGCCTTGCGGTCCAGGGGACTCGCAGGAGTCTCCTCCAGCACCACAATCCAAAGGCCTCAGTCCTTCGGCGCTCAGCCTTCCTTCTGGTCCGGCTCTCACAGCACTCTTCCAACACCTCTGCAATACGGAATTGCCAACTGAGGGGGCTCCAGTCTAAGGAAGCCCTTTGCCCGAAGATGCCACGAGCCTCTTTGTTATTTGTGCCGTGAGAGACGAGCATCAACGCGGCTTCAGCAGTCAATCCTTGGTGCAGGAGGCGCAGGAACGCGCGGGCGAGTGCTTTCCCGATCAAGCAGTGCCACACTCTGGCCACTGTCTGCATCTCTCTGCGCCACCACGGTGCCTGCTGAGCACCTGTCATGAGCGATGTGTCTGGCAGGGAAGCTGCCGCCCGGCCCCTTGACAGCACGTGGCGACTGAGGGCCGTGCGCTTTGCCACAGCGTCCCGGAGGATCGTGGGTGGAGTGCGAAAGCGTCTGCTTGGGTGGCTGAAGTTCTGCAGCCATGACTACCTCTCGCTGGGGCTGCTTCTCTTTCCCAATTCTCAGGATGGGGAAGATTTTGTGTTGCATCAAAATTGCAAATATGGAGCAATTTGCATTTCAGAAAAGGAAGTTCTGCAGCTGCAATTTCTGAGAAGCACGCAGACTTTTGGGAGGGGGGGATTTTAAAGCGTTGGACTCAGCTAGAAATGTAATCACCAAAAGTCTGGGATGAAGACACATTTCCAGCATCCACAGAGATATCTTTAACTTTTCAAGCAAAACCTTGTATTTCTGCAGTGTGAGGTTCACTGCGTTGAGTTCTGGGGAAAACTCAAAATACTTTCATAACACATCAGAAAAATAAAGATGAGGAAGTACAAGGAAAGATAATCAAATCTGTAGATGATGCAAAGCTGGGCGGAATAGCAAACATCCTAGAAGACAGAATGAAGATCCAGGGCGATCTTGATAAACCTGAATACCGGGCTGAAAGCAACAGAATGAAATTCAATAAGGACAAGTGCCAAGTCATCCATCTAGGAAAAATAAACCGAAGGCATCGATACAAGATGAGGAATAAGTGGCTCAGCAGAAATGAACAAGAAAAACATAGAAACATAGAAAACATAGAAAACAGAGCGAGTCAGAAGGGGCCTCCAGGGCCATCTAGTCTGACCCCCAGCTTCAGCCAGCTCCGCTCACGACATGCCCACCATGTGCATGTCCAGCCTATCTTTGAACACCCGCACCGATGGGGCCTCTACCACCTCCCGAGGAAGCCCATTCTACACCCTCAGGGTCCCGACTGTCAGGAAGTGCTTCCTGGCATCCAAATGGAACCTTGGCTCCCTGAGCTTTGCTCCATTGGAGCGCGTTCTGCCTTCCTCTGCAGGGGAGAACAGGCCTCTACCCACCTCCGTGTGGCATCCCCTCACATACCTGTATGTCCCCAACAGACCCCCTCCGAGTCTCCTCTTCTCCAGGCTGAAGAGGCCCAGTTCCCTCAGTCTCACCTCATACGGCATCCCCTGCAAACTGGTCACCAACCTTGTGGCCCTACGCGGCACTGACTCCAACCTGGCTATATCCTTTCTGTAATGAGGGGCCCAAAACTGAACACAATACTCCAGTTGCAGGCACACCAGAGTCATATAGAGTGGTAGTAATACCTCTCTTGATCTAGAAGCCACACTTCTGGCTATGCAACCAAGGGTGGCGTTCGCCCTCTTGGCCACCGCATCACACTGCTGGCTCATGTTCAGCCTGCAGTCAACCAGCACCCCGAGGTCCCTTTCACAAGTGCTGCTCTCCAGCCACTTGTCACCTAACCTGTACTTATGACACCCATTCCTGTGCCCCAAGTGCAAGACCTTGTACTTATCCACATTGAATGCCATCCTGTTGTCTCCTGCCCACTTCCATAGTCTGTCCAGATCCTTTTGGATCTGGAGTACCTGCTCCTCAGTTGTGGCCACTGCTCCAGTTTTAGTGTCGTCTGCGAATTTGATCAGCAGACTGTTCACCCCTTCTTCCATGTCATTAATGAAAAGATTAAACAGGATCAGCCCCAGGACAGAGCCCTGTCGGACCCCGCTTGTCACTGGCCGCCATCCCGACGATAACCCACTAATGGTTACCTTCTGCTTTCGGTCAGTCAACCATGCCCTAATCCACCGGACAGTGCTTTGGTGTATCCCAAAACTCCTCAGTTTCTCCACCAGGATATCATGGGGCACGTTGTCAAAGGCCTTGCTGAAATCCAGTTATACCACATCCACTGCATCCCCTCCATCTAGCCATCTCGAAACCTTGTCATAGAATTCCACAAGGTTTGTCTGGCAGGACCTGTTTTTGCGGAAGCTGTGTTGTGTGGCGGCCAGCCTCCCTTCCTTATCTAGCATCACTAGATCTCTCTCTATTATGAGCCTTTCCATTGTTTTTCCTACAATGGACGTAAGGCTAACCGGTCTATAATTCCCCATGTCCTTTCTACTACCCTTTTTGAAAATTGGGGGCACAGATGCCACCCTCCAGTCCTCTGGAACTTCACCTGTTCTCCATGAGGTCTCAAAAATGGAGGCCAGCGGGCGTGAGAGAACCCCTACCAACTCTCTAAGTACTCTCGGGTGTCGCCCGTCAGGGCCTGGTGCCTTTGTAATGTCCAATGCCCTGAGGAGCCCCTCGACTTCAAGGGGGGGTGACTCTAATCTGTGCCCCTAAGTCCCCCTAAGTCTAATTTCCTATGCGGATCTCCCCATTCCTGCTTTGGGGAGAACACAGAGGCAGAATAGTCATTTAGCATCTGTGCCTGTTCCCTCATATCAGTCACTGGATCTCCTTCCTCCTTATTTAGTGGTCTCACCACTCGTCTCCCCTTCCTCTTCCTATTTACATGCTGAAAGAAGC